AAAGAAAAACACGAGGTAAAGGATTTTATACTACAGGTACCGCCTCACATAAAATTCATTTCGATTACGGGAAAAATTACCAGAAACAATGCATCGCGCATATTTAAACCAATTCGACTGCATCTTTAGAAACGCTTGAATTGACTCAGAATGTGCGACATCCGATATTCTTCTCAGAACATCAGTTGAATATTGAATTTCATATATATATACAGTTTTCTAGAGATGTGTGGGGTAGAAATAAATAACTCAGCTCTTGAGAATCCGAACCAACCTGGGATTTTGAGATCTTTTTTTCCACAACCATCATTTTATTTTGATTTGGATCTCTATTCCTATGCTTATTCACTATAGACCTATTCATTCATGCGTTCATTATAGACTCGGCTGAGAGTAAAATAAACACCACGAAAGAGAATAATGCCTCATATCTTCTCCCGTTTTTATTGAGTCTCGAAAAGTGTGAAGGAAACATTTCCATTCTTCAAAAATGCTTTATTAGGCAAACGGATGGGACAAGCTGTGGCGTATGTGTCTGTATGGCAGTGGACATGATTTGTTCGGACTTCAAAAATGACCTTGGCCTCGTCTCTCCAGACATATTTCGAAGTTGGATGATGTATGCAATTTGTCTTGGATCTAAAAAACTACATCCGAAAGTACATGCCCTATTCAATACTCTATTTGGTAGAGATAGAGAGATAATTGGCTAAGTAGTGACATAAATAAACGTTTTGGTTCAATTTATACTTATCTTTGAAAACTACAAATACAAGTTATTCGCGTGTTTCAATACTTACGGGCTGTATATATAGTAGGAATTCAGCATGTTCTCATTGGATCTGGAAGCTTAATATTAAACTGTAAGATTTCGAATTCGATCGTTAAAGTCATAATTTCAGACATTCAATGGTGATAACAGAAGTCAAAAAAGCATCAAGCTTCCTACGCGTTTTCTAACAATCAATTAAAGAAGGCTAACATGCGCTAAAAATTTTGTTATCAAAATTTGATTTCTCTATAGTTCGGAGCTGTAGTCGGGGTCAGAATTGTTTGCAACTCCCAGTCTAGAGTCGGAGTCAACTTTTTTTCAATTCGGATTCGAATGTATATTGCCGTGGAGTGGAACGCGGCAACTATTTCACTGTTACAAAAGCACATGGGTTATTTCTTCTAATACTGTTCATCTCTACTAATCAATTATTTTTCTTTTTCGTTCAGGTTGCATTTATACCGGAACAACGTAACAATTTTTGAGCGCAGCCATTTTGCGAAAATAAAACCACCAGTTCAGCTTATAGTGCAATGCTGCAGAATTCCTATTTTGTCTCACCTGAAAGTAAATCGAATTGTAAATTATCTATGACTATTTAAATTTTAAATAAATTTAACCATGAAAAAGCGAAGACATTATCCAGTATATAAAAATAGTATTTCAACGCAATCAAACATAATGGAGAGATTGTTCCTCAGCGTGTGGGGTTGCACGTAACTAAGCTGATAAAAAGAACAGTGATAAGAGTTTCACCCAGACAAACATAAAAGCTCATGGATTTGCTTAGAATTTCGCTTATAAACTATACTTTCAGCTAATACTATATAGGCGAGTATCGGTGATGGGTCGATTTAAAACATGGCATGCATGTCTCTCACTAAAAAACTATTCTGTTGAGGAAATGTTATATTAATCAGTATTTTGTTACGGCACCGATCGAGTATCTTTTCAAACTTTATTGCTTGATAGAACAGATGTTCAAACAATTCATTCATAACCAGGAGTATACTTAGTCCCAAAATCAGATTTTGATTGAATTTTAGTTATTACTTATCGATGTTAAGATCGGTAAGTATGTTGATAGGTATTTGCCTGTTTGTTTGCCTGTCTGTTAGATGCACGCGATATCCCAAGAAATCGAGGTTGAATCTGTTCCAAATTTTGCATGTGCATTCACCATGCATAGCTTGGACCAGAAGCCTATTGATTTTGGATGAATTATGTCGTATAATTAGCGAGATATTAATTAATTAGTGATGGAACACACGGTGTAACTATGGAGTAAGAGTCTTCGGTCTCCGACCGATATTCTCTTTTTACCGTTTATTTATATTTTTGTGAAAATGACATTATTGCGTTGGATTAAAAGAATTTTGTTATAAAAATGATCGAGTTTTTATTCAATTTCTTTATTTGATTGGAAAGATGTCTGAGGTATAAATTCATACCCAAAATATTTTTTGAGCCCTAAAGGCAGATCATGTTCAAATTTTGGGTCAATTTAACGATATTTTGGATTTTTAGGAAATTTACGTTATTGCGTTGTATTAAATGTATTTTGTTAAAGAATTGATTGAGTTTTTTTCAATTTCTTTATTTGATTAGAAAGATGATGAATTCAGATATCCATACTCGAAATATTTTTTGATTCCCAAAGGCAGACCTTGTTCAAATCTTGGGTCAATTTAACGATGTTTCGAAATTTGAAGAAATTTGCGTTATTGCGTTGTATTAAATGTATTTTGTTAGAAAACTGATCATTTTTTTTTCGAATTTCTTTATTTGATTAGAAAGATGTCTGAGGTATATTTCCATACCCAAAATATTTTTTGAGCCCCAAAGGCAGATCTTGTTCAAATTTTGGGTCAATTTAACGATATTTTGGACTTTTAAGAAATTGACGTTTTTGCGTTGTATTAAAAGTATTTTGTTAGAGAACTGCTCATTTTTTTTCGAATTTCTTTATTTGATTGGAAAGATGTCTGGGCTATAAATCCATATCCAAAATGTTTTTTGAGCCCTAAAGGCAGATCTTGTTTAAATTTTGGCTCAATTTAACGATTTTTTGAATTTTCAGGAAATTTACGTTATTGGGTTGTATGAAAATTATTTTGTTAGAAAACTGATCAATTTTTTTTCAAATGTCTTCAATTGATTGGAAAGATGCCTGAGGTATAAATCCGCACTCCAAATATTTTTTGAGCTCCAAAGGCGGATCTCGTTCAATTTTTGGGTCAATTCAACGATTTTTCGAATTTTCAAGAAATTGACGTTATTGCGTTGTATTAAAATTTTGTTAGAAATCTGATCGATTTTTTTAGAATTTCTCTATTTGATCGCAAAGATGTCTGAGGTATATTTCCACCCAAAATATTTTTTGAGCCCCGAAGGCAGATCTTGTTATAATTTTGGGACATTTTAACGATATTTCGGATTTTTAAGAAATTTACGTTATTGCGTTGTATTAAATGTATTTTGTTAGAAAATTTATTGATTTTTTTTTCAATTTGTTTCAATTTTTTGAGCCCCAAAGAAGATCTTGTTCAAATTTTGGGTCAATTTAACGATTTTTCGGATTTTTAAGAAATATACGTTATTGCGTTGTATTAAAGGTATTTTGCTAGAAAACTGAAAGAGTTTTTTTTCCAATATCTTATGTTGATTGGAATGATGTCTGACGTATAAATCCATACCCAAAATATTTTTTGAGCCCCAGAGACAGATCTTGTTCAAATTTTGGGTAAATTTTACAATTTTTCGGATTTTTTGTAAATTTATTGCGTTGTATTAAAAGTATTTTGATAATAAACTGATGTAGTTTTTTTTACCAATTTCTCCATTTCATTGAAAAGATGATGAATTCAGATATCCATACCCAAAATATTTTTTGAGCACCGAAGGCAGATCTTGTTTAAATTTTGTGTCAATTTAACGATATTTCGAATTTTTAAGAAATTTACGTCATTGCGTTATATTAAAAGTATTTTGTTAGAAAACTGATCATTTTTTTCGAGTTTCTTTATTTGATTATAAAAATGTCTGAGATATAAATCCATACCCAAAATAATTTTCTGAGCCCCAAAAGCGGATCTTGCTCAAATTTTGGGTCAATTTATTTGTTAGAAAATTCATCGAATTTTTTCTCAATTTCTTTATTTGTTTAAAAACAGGGTGAAGGTATCAATCCATACCCAAAATATTTTTTGAGCCCCAAAGATAGTTCTTGTACAAATTTTGGGTCAATTTACCGATTTTTCGGAATTTTTAAGAAATTTAAGTTATTGCGTTGTATTAAATGTATTTTGTTAGAAAACTGATAGAGTTTTTGTCCAATTTTGTTATTTGATTGGGAAGATGTTTAGGGTATAAATCCATACTCCAAATATTCTTTGCGCCGCAAAGGCGGATCTTGTTCAAATTTTGGGTCAATTCAACGATTTTTCAGATTTTCAAGAAATTCCTGTTATTGCGTTTTATTAAACGTATTTTGTTAGAAAACTGATCCAGTTTGTGTTCAATTTCTTTAATTGATTTGAAAGATGTCTAAGGTATAAATTCATAATCCAAATATTTTTAAGCCCCAAAGCTGCTCTTTTTCAAATTTCGCGACAACTATTAATTTTTTTGGGAACTTTATTGTTATTCACGTATACATGTTTTTGACATGTATACATTATGTTATTGCAATACTTACATAATATTATCATAACAAAGTATACAATCTTATTTTATTCACATGAGACTAGATACTGGTACTGTATTTATACACAAAAATGTTAGACTGCATTTGCTGAGTACGATTAAACTAATTTGTAATCATAAATTTTATAATGAAACACTTTTTATGACTTCTTGTTTTCGAGCAAAAAGATTTTGCTAGCATTTTGCTAGCTTGACAGAGTTGTAGTGTAAGTTATTTCCAAATTTCCCGAAATCTACATACAGACATACAGACTGTACAGATGTGTTGCTTTGTTCTGTTTCCATATTCAGATATCTACATGTCTGCCTTTTAGTACCAAGTTGGTTCTTGCATCAAGTGACAAGACCCAGTGAAGAATTTTGAGCAATTGCAGAATAGTTCATAGTTCAGTAGTTTGCTGTTTGATAATACCGGTACCAGAATACTACGATCTAATTCAGTCTGTACAGCTGTACCGGTACCGTTATTGCCGAATTGTCAGAGCTGAATAGTCTCTCATATCTTTAAATGTTATTATGCCAATTTTTCCTCAAGTCAGCAAGTGCCTAAATTTCAAGTGTTTACTTTTAGTCTGTCCCCTAAAAATTTGTCACTGCTTGATATTATTCCCTTTTTATCGTTGTCAGATTGCATAAAACTGAAAATAGTTCTTCGTTGGGACTTCATGGACTAAGAATTCTAATATCCATATTGGATATTAGAATTCGAAGGCCTAATTTAATTGGAAGAAATGTCATCCAATTTTGATAATGAAGTTCTAATCAACTCTCTTGAATCAGGTATAACTGCAGAACTGATAGTAGATATAACTGTATAACCAAGTTGTTGTAGACTACAATTGTAAAAGTTAAATAAAATTGACTTTTCTCACCAGCTGAAACCCTGCATTGCTGCTTCCTGTCTGTCTGTCTGTATATAACTAACTATAACTATACTGCTATAACTGTGATGCAGTCATTACTACTAATACTGTAATAGCCTGATAGCAGTGTCTTGGGAAATACCCTTATATCTGTATATGAAGACAGTATATAGACAAATGAACTGATACTGTGATACCTAGTTATGAGCGTGACAGTTTAATGGCCGCTTATTTAAGTACCGGTATATTTTGTTAGTATTAAAAGTTGATGTTGTATTTATTAGGTTTTGAATGAGATTCATGGGATATAATTATTATGCACCAATGTAAGTTATAGCGTTGGGAACATTTGGCACATATCATGTTTTTGGATTCAAGAACTTGTAAAAGTGAACAGAGCATTATAAAATTATAAGCTAATGTCTTAAATTGAAAAAATAGTATTTTTATCAGAATTTTATTTTGTTAGAAAATGACATATATTCAGATACTGGCATCTGAAAGTGAGTGGATGAAACAGTATCATAGTCCAAATATTATACATTGTCTAACTCAGCTTCTTTTTTGGGGGGAAATTGCTTAAAACTCAAATAGAAGCCTTATATGAGATCGTTTTTTATTTTTTGTATATCTGTATATTGAGGTATTTTTTTTCATATAGGTTTTGAAACAAGACTTTTTGACATTGTTGATAGAGATGGGGTAACCAATAGTGGAAATCGTGATGCACCAGGTAAATATTTTTGCCAAATTTGCTAAGACCAATTTTTTCAATCCTTCGCTAAGAAAGGAAAATGTGTGGTATAAGAGTTGCATATAATGCAGTGATTCTGTAGAAAATGTCTATTCTAAGTGATTCACCTACCAAGTCTTGCTTCACAATTAACATGAATATATTTCTGTAATGTTTTGTCTTACCAAAGTTCAAACGTACTCAGTGAAAAAGGCATCCATAGTAATACCCTACATGTACAAGTGGTAGGATGCAAATGATTATGGTAATGTTTTATCTCTATGCTTCATGTCTTTTTTCTATTCACTTGAAGGTCAGAGTTGTGTGTACATACTATCTGGAAATCACGAAAATGAGGGATACAGAATTGCAACATTTGCAAAATATCCAGAAAATATTCCAGTTTTACCAATTCATCTCGCTCGCGCAGGATTCTATTATACAGGGTTTCGAGATAGAGTGAAATGTTTCAGGTGAAAAAACCTTTTATAGGCTGCTATAACTTTTGGCTCAAATATTCAATTTGTATTCGAATAAAATAAAATTTGGTCTTTTTTTCTAGTTGTGGCATAACAGTCGAAAACTGGATGATTGGTGATGACCCATCTCTGGGAAGTTGGCATAAGGCAGATTGCACCATGGCACGAGGAAATAACATACGGAATGTTGCGTCTGATTCTGTTTATCCTAGTTTAATGAGGCAAATTTTGGGTCCAAGCAGTAATTCTCAAAGAAATAATAGACACCAGGTTTGTTTTCTGGAAATTCTTACTCAATGGCACTTGGTGCCACTAAGCATTTGGGACATGCTTGTCCTTACTATTGCTAGTTACCCTCCGTGACTTTGGTTTGAAATCACAATTGCCTCATACTCCTGGCTTCATCTACGGACTACTAGAAAAGACAATTTTGATAATTAAAACTTTGGGCTATTTGAAAGCCTTCTTCAATGGAGCATTGAGAAGGTTTAGTGAACTTTTAATGATGCTTTTTCATTTTCTGCTCAAAAATTTGACCTTCAATGTTGACTTTTGTCATCACTGAAAGTCTGAGATTCTGATTCCAACATTAATTCCATACTATAGCTCTGTTAACTACAGTACATAATTTTTTCAAATAACAGATTTCATTGATATTTTCATCTATATATTCACTTTTTAAATCATTATTCAAATATTATTTATAAATTTTTTAAACATTCCAATGTACATCCTTGTGTAGTAGCCTACTGGCTAAATTGAAGTAAACATGTTTATGTTCAATAGTTCTTTATTCGCTTTGACTTATGCCATGTCAGTCAATAAGTTAAATATTAAGCTTTTCCCATAGCAATTTGTGGGGAAGTCCCTGGTTGCTGTTGCCCAGTTAGTCATTATTCATGCATTTCACATGATGAGTTATATAATAATCCTGTAGTCATTTATGTCCAATTAATCACCTTTGTATTGATGCTTTTAGTTAAATTTATGGATGACAAAGTTCAAATATGCATTGCACCACTGATATGACACCAATGCTGCTCAATTTAAATTATGCAGCTCTGATTATTTCATAGTAGATTGCTGGTTAATTCAAATGGCTGCTAGCCAGTTACAATTTTATTTACTACCATTTTTATACATGTGGACTCGCAATGTATTAACTATTCCCTGACAGACCATAATAAAAAGACAAAATCTTGAATTTCTGTATGATTAAACCATGTTATTGATTTTGATAAGCCATCAGATTTGAATATTTATCTAGGTAATATCATTTTTTTAGGAACCATCTCAATCTGCTCAACCCTGTAGCTTGCAGGGAGCCGGTATGGTTATTTATTAAATTTTTTGAATTTTCATTTCTATACGCATCATTCAACTACTTTTTGCTCAAAATGAAACATTCTGTTAAACTTAATAAATGCAACGGTAGCTAGCTTTTTTAGGTTTAATATTATCAGTTTTTCAGGGCCTGCGAAGTCTTTTTTCTATGGCTTCCAACTTTTTTTTGTCACAGACTAATCCTAATTATATTTTATTCATGAGCAGATAAGTTGAATAATTCAGAATGGCGTGTACAGTTCCTCGTATTATTTTCCCCAATGTTGTGCCATAACCTCACACACATATATAGATATATACCGCCCGGTATATATATCTGCAGGCCTGCTTTGCAATTATTGTTTTGAGGTGAAACTAATCCATTGCAATTAGCAATAAACACATTCTATTTCTAAGTTGTCCCCTTACAATTTTTAAGCAGTTTTTCGTTTGGTTTTCATTTCTGCTATTAGACTTATATCTTGTTATATCTTGGCATTCTAACGAAAATATTACATTTCTTATGAATGCTATTTTTCGTTTTTTTTTTACACAGAATCGACCTACAATGATGTTACAGAAAGACTTAATCACGTTAGCCTCGGTAACCAAGTTGCTGATGCAGTCAATGTAAGACATTGTATTTTATATATTATACTTAGTTAATAATATGGTTAGATTTCTGATATTTTTTATCATTGGGCAGTCTAACCGAATGTGGAATAATAAATGTATTACCAGTTATCCATTTCCCTATTCGTCTCTAAGCCATAGAAACTAGTATATTCGTATAGGAAATATACAATAGAGAGACATTGCAGAAGTATTATTTATAGCTTCATGCTTTGAATCGTCTTTATTGATTTTAGGTTATAAATGTTGCAATAATGTTTTTAAACCCTTTGTTTAAGGTACAGTTTCAGTTTGCTGACATCGTAGATCAAGAACATGGAAGAATGTTAAGAACACTCAATTTATACAAAGAAGAAGATAGAAGGTTTCTACATTTGATAGTTTTACTTTCATGTATACTTGTTTACAAGTCCTTACCATTGTTGGAAACAACTCTTCGAACCTCGATCAAGTCATGGGCCATTTAATACTCAAGTCAAGCTTAATTCTAAATTCCAGTCACTGCACTCATCAAATCAAGTCAGATCGCTGCCCATTAGAGGATGTGTTTTAGTAGATTTCATGATCAACAGTAACAAAGATAAATATGATGGTTCTAAGTCTAACATTTCCTCTTATGTTAACAGCATTATTCATGAAACTTGACTCCCGAACTTAGGTCATTATTTGTCCCATTCAAATGCTGAAATTCTGATTGGCCAAACGAATTTTTGTTCATATTTTATTCTCTAAAACCCTATTTATTATTTTAGAAAAACTTATCAAAAATGGCCGACTTATCCAGCGCCGTATTTGTCAAGCACTCTGGCTAAAAATGGTCTATTTTATCTCGGAAATCTAGACAGAACGCAATGTTATTTTTGTGGTGGTGTGCTGAGGAATTGGGCCGCTAATGATGACGTTCAACTTCAACACAGATCACATTTTGGCAATTGCAAGTATGATGAAGTAGTATCTTCCCGAGAAATATAATCTATTTTCATTTACATTGAATCACTAGTATCATTGGAATTTGGTAGATTATTTCAATATGACGTTGTCTGTATAATTTTTATCACCGAATTCAAGGATGTTAAGTTAAGATATAGCTACTTCATATTCTATTCATTAAGCAGGTTGAATTCTGTATTGTATACATTATAGTATTATACTATACATTGTGTCCTATAGAAAATCTTCCCTTATTAATAAACATAAGTAGATGAAATTATAGATAAATGTTGCAAGATTGGATTTTTTTATTATTCTGAGCCAGAGAAATGGCAAACCTTGTCCGATATCAGTTCATGCCGAGCATAGAATTATAAACCTAGACTTTATTTCAGGTGAATGTACTTGATGGTGGTGTAAGAAGCACAATCTATCATCATTTACGTGAATCACCTTACGGCAGCAGGACGTCCAACAATCCTCTCGCACATACTTATCTTCTATGAGATTCGAACCCATGTTGGGAACATTTGCAGGTTAATCTGATATGCTAAGCTAACCCTTAGCTCTGTATGTCAACCGTTACGCTCTAACTACTCACTCAATGATTGTTTTGTATTTCCTATGTAAAATCTTCTCAACAGAATGTTTACAAGCAACCATACTGGAAACATACCCTTGTCTGAACAAGAAAGACAAAACGCTGATGCCGCAGATCGTGTAAGATTGCAACAAGTTCTCTTGGGAGATGATGATCCAATACAAGAACCCCCAGATCTTCTAGCAGAAGATCAAAGAAGAATGGCAGCTTTATACCCTTTGAATGCTCCCATTAATCCGCACATGCGAACAATGCAAGCAAGACTCCAAAGCTTTGATAATTGGCCTGAAAGAACAAGGGCCACAAAAGAGCAGATTGCAAAGGCTGGATTCTTTTACTTGGGTTAGTTGATTACATATTTGATAAAAATTGTATAGGCCTAATGAGATATTCAGGTTTTCATACTTTTTTATTTTTATTTTTTTTTGAATTAGTTCGTTTAGCATTAGTACTGTTTTTATTCCAGGCATTTTAAAAGTCTGTATTTAGTAATGATAGATGAAAAACTACTAATGATGATTAGCGTACCAGGATATTGTGTGTTGAACTGTGGGTTCTTGGATGAGCAAGATAGTATTAATGTGGTAAATAAGAATAAAATATTCTTTTTTCACAAAATAGCAATTGTATTTGTGAGCTTTTGTCAGATCATAGTGAAACTTCTTCAGACAAAATAGTTGTACCTTAATGAAACATGCAGAATAATAATGGCCAGTTATTGAATATTGATAATTAGTGATAAACAAGGACAAGGAAATAGTGCATAAAATTAATATAAACTTTGGACAGACTACAGACAAACATAATTAGCGAACCTAAAATATTAGAAGATGCTTACTCAGCTTTGAAATGCATGATGCTAGTCAATTAGATAGTGAACTAATTTAAATAATCAATTTATGCTAATTAAGCACTGGCTCTCATTATGGTTAACTTGAAATTGATGAAAATGCTTATCAAATAAGCAGAGTAGCAAACCTGTTAAATTTTTGAACTGTTTATTTGCTTTGTCATCTGCAAATATTAGTTCACTTTATAGTTGTTTAAAGTGTGCATACATTTGTTATACAACGTTGCCGCTGGGTGTAGCCGCCTGGGCAGCGATTAACAATGTGAACCTAACTCTAAATATAGCATAATGTGCACTCTGGGCTTGCAAATTTTTGTATAAACTGGTTCATAGGTCATTATAAATGGCTTGAATGTTAAAGATTAAATCTAAGTAGAAATATATGGACACAAAAAGACTTGAGAGCACCTGAGAGTTTGCTGAAAAAATTGGCAGACAACAATACAGAGGAGGGCAAGCAACACTTGTGTTTATCTGTAATTATAATCTAATTCGAATGGAAAAATATTTGGTGAAATGTTGGGTCCTATGGGTGTGAGAATAATTTCCATAATAATTTTTGATATTTCATTATTTTACCATAATGAAGAATTCAGCTTCATTGTCAATGCTTTTCCAATTAATCAGCATAATTTTTTTTATGTTAGAAATCTTCAACATTTCAGGCTTCTCAGCCAGGACTGCAATTTTCAAACTTCAATATAATATTTGCATTGCAGGTCAGTCTGACAAAACCAAGTGTTTCTATTGCAACGGTGGATTACAGAATTGGGATCCCAATGATGAGCCATGGACCGAGCATGCGAAGTGGTTTCCTGGGTTTGTTTCTTTATAAATTTAGAGTCGAGATGGTTAAGTAGTCGGTCCAACAAAACAGCAATCAATAGGATAAACCTTTAGATTCAGAGGGAAATTAATAAATGAATTTATAAGATCCTTGTCAATTGTTAAAATAAAGGTAGAAAATGTAACTCTGATCTGAGAATTAGCTTAACCACGAAGGTTGAATAGTCATAATTTTAGTCGGTATTTTTACCCTTAAATCAGGTGCAAAGATTGAGAGTCAAAGAAATTGATGCTTTGGGCACTAGTTTTAAAGTACACTTGATTCAATTCAAGGTCGAGGTCCAATTCCTAATTTAGGGAAAAATTATCTAAAGTAGTGGGTTTGGTCCCAGACTTCCATATGACTAAAATAAAATTTGAGAAAAAAAATCAGGTAATAGCCATGTGACGACTTGTTCAGTTTTCAAGTACTGGTCAAATTTACTGAATGAATGAATAAATTACTGAATTCAATTGGTCCATATTAGTTGCGAGAAAAACGCTTTTTCTCAGCAGTAACGTTGAAAACTATTTAGCAAATTTACCTCTCTGTTGCCGTAAATCCCTTTTTCTCAGCTTTTTATGCAACTTGTTTCGTATTACAGTTGCGCTTTCGTGATCAGAGAGAAAGGCCAAGAGTTTGTACGGCGACAGTTTGAGCTTCATCCTAATTTGAATCGGCCAACGATTAGAAATTCAGTTTCGTACGATATTCCTCCTGATGTTCCACCAACCCAGACAAATATCAATATTGAATCTTTACAAGATATGGGATTCCCAACTGAAAGGATTCAAAGACTAATGAGAAGGTTTGTAATATATAGATTGGTGGCTCCCAATTGAGGCCCACGTAACTATTTAATATGGCCCGCTGAACTCAAGTCAGGATACTTTTTTTCTCTTTGCCAATCGTTATGCCATTATCACAGTTTAAGTGTATATTCATACCAATTCAAGTATACTGGTATCTTAATTATATGTACCGGTACCAGTATCGGCATCTTGCGGGTGCTCCCTTCTACTGGCCTGCAAATATTTTTAGGAACCACTGAAGTAGATCAATCATGCAAGTTTGTGCACTGGATTTTAATTCAGATGATTCAGTTTTGATATGCTATTCCAAGAATTTGGTTATTGTGGTTAGGGGGTTATAATTCATTAGTTTCGTTGAATTTCTGTCTTTGTCTCTTTTGGAACACTTCATTCCTCCCTCATTACTTTATTTATTCAATCTTCAATTGATTCTTATCTAGTGACGATTAGTTGCATAAATAACTATTTTACTAATAATAAAGAACGAAAAAATATTAGTAATACTAAAGCAAATACGAAGCAAAATTCATCTCCAAGAACTGAAAAATTCATCCCCGAGTTAAAATAACTTTCTGATTGGGAAGTGTTGGGTTTTTTATTGTTCGTGGAATACTTAATTCAAGTTCCTCAAAAACGAATTTCTTACTTTCAAGCTCTTTTCTTATGTCTTATAATATTGATGAAATGTCAGCTATTTAAACAAATGGTGCAATTAAGTTTGTTAATGTTTAACTATTGTAGGTAGAATCCTGACGCCATCGTTGTGCTTTATTTGAACAAATTTCTTTTTTGTTTTAAGTCTTCAAGATTTATATTTTTGGTCATAATTTTCAATATTTGCTGTTAAAAGTATTTTATATATACTCTTCACATTCATTTTAATATTATGGTAACAGGGACAGACACAAGCGCAAACAAGTTTGCTAAAATTGCTTGTTGAACAAAATTTGATGGAAACTTGAACACTTCAGGGGTGTTTTCTAAGACATTAAAAGTAACATTCAATATTGGATATTAATTGTTGTCATAGAATCATACTTTATGAGTACGATATGTTATATTTTGATGACAATTTTATAAAATGTACCTAAGCTTATTTGAATTAATATTTTTTTCAATTTTTTCATCTAAGAAAAACTGAAATAGACAGAAGGGGTTACACAGATGTTCAAGAGCTGATTGAAGATCTGCTGGCAGCAGATTTATCAAGTCCTGTGGAACAAAATACATCATCCATGCAAGAAGCTGAAGAACATCACAGCGCTGCCGTTCAAGGTGCACCAATGATTGCTGTTGCAGCAGGTGCAGTTGCAGGACACAAAAGGAACGGAGATAATTCGAGTAATGAGGCAAAAAAGATAAGAACTCAGTCACCTGTATCTGGTATGTTTTCTCATAGATTTCATTCAAGCAGCATATAGCAGATTTACGATATTCTTTATATGATTCTTTATACGATTATGAATAAAGTGGCATACAAATGTGCACTGTCTTAGGGCCTTTACTGTTGTTTCTGATATCATATTTTCATAGCATATGTCCTCCAAGCTATCGGATCTTTTCCCTAATACCTTACTATGAAGAATTTATTAAGTTTCATTGTTGATATTATTTTGCTAATTTTTTTTTGCCGGGCGCGGGATAAAAACTGATGTTCTTCTCAGCTAGTGGAACAATTTCTTTACAATTTTCTGTATTGAAAGATCCAAATATCTTTCAGAATAATCTCAGACCTCATATATGCTCCCTTGGGTATGTTATTTCAACCCGTATCTTGTGATTTTTTAAATAGCACTTCAACTTGGATTTTGGTGGTCTCATATTCACTGAAGAGAAGCGTTACTTTGTGCTTATATATTCTTATATTTCTCTTTTTTAAGCTGCTTAATCACATGAGTAATATGATTTTTTTCTTACATAGCATCAAGAGAAATGGCTGAAAATCTAAGATTCATGCAAGAATCCGACAGATGTCGAAATTGTTTGATGAATCCAGCGGATGTTGTATCAATACCATGCGGACATCTTGGAGCATGCTCTGATTGTGCAAGGAATATGAAGAGATGTTTTATTTGTAAAATGAAAGTGCAATCTCAAGTGAAAGTATTCAGAGCCTGAATAACTATATACTGGGTGGCCAAAAAAACAAAACAGAACACATACATTTTTAAAAGCTTGTACAAAAATGACAAAAAAAATTATTGAATTTTTACTATGCTCGATCTTCTGTTTGAGCATGATTCTAAAGATAACATAACTTTTATGCAGAATGTCCTAGACTCCTGAAACTTGTGGGTACAATTATACATTGACAGAGGTCCAAGATTATACAAAAAAAGATAATTTACTGTAAACTTCTGCAATGACTTGCAGTTATTCTTACTGAACAATTTGGGTTTGAGCTTGTGTTCTATGGTTTTTATGATGTAAAGTTTGTGGTCTGTGTACTGTATATTTCTTGTGGTATGTACTTGATTAGTAATCCAAAAATTATCTTGGAGTTTGAGTAATTTAGTACCGACCAGGGCCGGGAGCTGGCTGGCTGACCGGGAGTTTAAAATCGCAGCGTCTACTAAGCCATAGTATTTCCAAGCTCCGGCTTCCCCAGCCCAGGTGATAACTAAAATGGTTTGGAGTATGTTTGACCGTCGGATATGGTATTTGCTATTTTGAATTGGTAAAGTTTGCTTAAAAGTTTTTTGTTTTCCTCACTGTGCACTTTCATCCTGGTGACCTTGATTTCTAAGTCTTTCGTTAAGTTCTGTCAATCTTATGTTATCTTGACTCGACCAAGTATGTATAAAGATCCATTTCATTATCAGTGTTGTCTATAATAAAAAAAAATTATAACGAATACGGCTTTACTATAAACGGTCTGAAGTATTCAGGTTTAAGCTTTTGACTGTCTTCAATAGACTCTGAATAGAGTGGACACTTGTATGGGCATTTGTTTTTGTACCGTATAATTGACATGAATAAAAAAAAAGATTTATCCAGGTAAATTGAAGTGCCTCATTTCAGAATAATGTCAATTCGATATGAACGCACCTTGAAAAAATTTGTATCTCTCTTTCTCGCAAAACCATGCTGCGGAAGATTCGTGGAAGCGAGCTGCTCAAGAAAAGGTCTGTTTGCGAGAACCTCTGATTCGAGGCAAAAAAATCCCGATCTTTTCAAGTCGGTATACTCTACTAATAACTCAAATGTTTGTGGCGATTAGTGCAGGTCTCCCAAGATTCTGAAAACGAGACACTTCTGCAGCACTTCACTAAATCAAACATACTTGTGACTGCTTTTCAGAATATGTATTCTCAATGTTCAAAGTTATTTAATACAGGTTTGTTTATATGAAAAAAATCATGATATAGACGAAACTTATATGCGACCATCTAATTCTAATACATCCAAAGGTCCAATCATCGTCATCCTCTTTCTGCATTTGCATGGAGTCTGTGATAAATAGAACGAACGATTTCTGTTTTAACTTTAATGTATGTTCAAATACTGTCCATGGCGAAGGTTGCTCACGCTGAGGTTTGGAACTGTCAGTAGGTTTAGTGAGATATCGGCAAAGGAAGTCAAGAAAAATGGAAAGAAATTGTTTCTCTATAACCAAATTGGTCCATTAGTTTCAAATAAAAGCGATATTTTCTAACATCAGCAACAATTACCCGGGCAACAATAAGGTGAATAACAACAATAGTTCAAAAAAGCCATTCCTGTGTCTAATTTGTGTCCAATGATTCTCATGTATACTCTAAATGGGAGTATTATATTAATGACTGTTTATAATAAACCAAGCCGTCAATTAGACATGATATTTGTGTAGCTTCACTTAATGTTGAATGAAGCGCTGTGATGTTTTCCTTGAAACTTTTCTTCGTAAATAAGTAGAGATGGTTTATTACTTAGATATCAAAGCGAACTTAAATGGTACGATAAATTTACAACTTTTATCAACGTAGGACCTACTGCTATTGAACTAATCTTGTTTTATCTTTGAGTGAATTCAAGGCAATTAACAAGTTTTTTTTGTAAGCACGGTCGGTTTATTTGTAAGACCCAAATAGGTTCAAAACATTCGATACTTTAAAGAAGGAATTAAGACACATCATATATTTGCATAATTGTAAACAGTATTAAAGATGTAAAACTGTTAGAAAGGCAAGGATAGAATTTTACATAAAAAATTCAATTTAGTATCATCCTACGCAATAAATATTGAGTGATGAACAATCACAATGAACTTGTGGTATTATTATCGCATTTTGGGGATATCAACCCGATTAAATTAAAATCTTCGGATTATAAAATAAATCACCTACTGAATTGGCTTGAATATTGCATTTTATTTAAAGAAGCACAATAACATATTAAACACAATTAACATATTTCAAAGCGAGTGTATGATAAAAACGAGTTTTTTTTTTGCATTTGCTGTGGTGGGGCTACGTAGTAACATCGGTTCTATTATTATAATTTCTGATCTTATTTAATTATATAAAAATACTAGAATCTTGAGTGTCGTGTCGCTGCTCGATTCGCCGCACCATCCCAAACCTGTAAAATTTTGCGTTTATGTTTTTTATCATAATAATTTTTGTACGTTTGGAGTTTAATGATAGGAAAAATGAACTCGACATTAGTGTCGGCAATAAAAGTTTCTTTTCGGTTGATTATATTTTGAACGCTGTTCTTCCTTGTGTTCCGACTGGCTAATATTTATCGATAATTGCTATTCTGTTTTGACGCGAATTTCGCGGGCTTTGCTGCACCTGACGTGTCACGCGGGGATCTTGCATCTCGACTTTACTCGTCGTAGGTCGTTCTTGTTTCTTCTTGTTATGGTGTTAGTGGCGTAGTTTCGCATTATCTGCTTTACTGACTTAGCATGTGGATGGCATTTGGTCTCGTTAGATAGAACTGTGGTGAGGGTATCGTAACCGGGTCCCCATATGACCCCATATTAACTGCTTTCTAAATTTAGTTGCTATTTTTATTCCAATAACTTTATTGTTCACTTTTCCTGACGATTTAGGCCTTTGGAGCGTTATTGTATGTAAGTTTATTTTCTATAACCTTCTGTTTATGCATTTTCTTCCCGCCCTCATCTTGTGATTGTTTATTGATTATTTCATTTTATTTACAGTCAACCGTACTACAATAAACGCGTATGACATGGAACATCTGTGTGCCTAAATCTGACAATTAGTCGCGAGAATTCAGCGACAAAGCCCCTGTTATTTATAAGTACCGTATGTAAACTGCCAAGTTTTGTTTATTGTCGTATTCTGCGATATCTATTATTATATTATTACCTTGGTACAGATTTGAGTCGAGTCATGCGGATGCCATGCGTTTATACCGGATAATCAAGTTTTATTCAGTGAAAACTCAGTGATTTTTTATTGGCCAATCCAGTGTTGCATCCTGTTCAATGTATGCCGTAGCTTGAGAGAATGGAATCGCTGAGGATTTTCGTGTAGTAACTTCGATATATACAAACATTAGCTTATATGTTTTGTCTCTAGAAGCACACGAACCAACTACCATGGTCCTACAAATTTATATATATGCTCATCGTTTAATTAAAAGAAAATTTAGGCTAACCGCGACATGAAATAATTTAAAAATTACTTGAATTCCGGATCACTGTCATTGCGATGCTTGTCTAAATTTGAATAAGTTTTATCTCACTTAATTACGCCTTCAACGCGCGAGTTGAAAATTCTGCTCAAAATATTGCTTTATCAAATATATATATTTAGATCAGTGTGATTGGAAGCAAAAGTGGAAAATATAAAAAAAAAATATTTATATCTATAAGGTCCAACCATAGTGACCTTCTTTTTGCATTCACATTTGCATGGGGTTTGTTAATAAAGATTGATATAAAACTAATCTATAAAATCTATGGAATTTCATTCTCCAAAACAAAATTGTCAATTTTGTTCTTGGGCACGTGTATTTTGGTTTTTACTGGACAAATCCAAAAATGCGAATAATTTTATGGTATAACGGTGAGTGTTAGGATAGTTTCTAACCAAACTCTAATAAATAATTTTAGAAATGTTTTAAAATTAGTAATTGTGTGTCTTCACATAATGTTGAGGAATCATACCATCGGTTTGAAAACTCCATTTCTACACACGCATGCAAATTTATAATTAATAAATAATAATAAATTTAGCAAGATGTTACAAACTGTTGCGAGTCTTTTGGGGAAATTTCATCCAAAACTACACGCATCTTGTAGAAATAAAATGAATAAAATCAGCGCAAACAAACCTTTACTGTGACGTTTTCCTTGACCAGTTTGCCACGGTTTTCCTAAATTGCCATAATTTCGCCAAAGCGCCAGATAGTCTGACATTCGCAAGATTCGTCATCCAAATCATATGATCTACGCGGGTTTGGATTTAAGATATCCCCTCGGCCATAGTTACTTTTGTCGTTAACGCAGGATTTCTTCGACCTCCTGTTATGAGGTTTATAATATAATTGATTTTAACAATTACCCATTGTTTTAACACTATAGTGATTGAAAGGTTGGAACAATTTGACTTGTGGGTTACATTTTGTCGAACCGTAGTAAGATACGTGAGTACATTTCCTATCTTCACAAGTTGAGTGCTATTTATCACCATGTGCGGAACAAAATTTGTTTGGGTCGGAAGTATATTTGGGTAATTAAATAAATCGGAATCGTAACAACATCAAGCATTAACGACAACGCTGAGTTGCCCCGATCGGGGTTACACTCCATAACGTGTGTTAATCAAACGTGTGTTGAATAACACGTGAGCGAAATTTTGCCTACGATTTATGTCCAATCCTTTAAGTGTGATCGCCATTTTGTTTACTATTTCGTTACAATTTCATTTTCACTAAAAGAAAAATTTTGAAGCGACCCATAGACCCTTAGGAATTTTTTTTCCCGCATTTTATTGCTCTCGTAAACCGACTTAGATTCTCTCGTTTAACTAAGCCGTTATTTACAATGTCGTTTTTTAATTCGTATTTTTTCTCGTTTTCGGAATTTCAACTCTCGACGGCCGGCTTACAAAGTTTAAAAATTAGCAAGCTTATTTTTTACTGTCGGGGGTGTTGGGGGTATTGTGTAGCGAATGTAACTATGGATTATAATGTTATTTAACCCCTTTCTGT